GATCCTGTATACTCGTTCTTCTCAAACCCTCCGCCCTCCCCCGCTCCCCGCGGACAGATCCCCCGCCCGTGCCCTGCGCCTGACGCCGCCGCCTTCCTTACACACTCACACAGAGCTCTTAAGTGCTCGCCGCTCCCGCCCGAGCTCGCGGAAACTTTGGCAACCCGCCCCGCGACCTTGCAGCCCCGTGGCGTGGCGGGGCATGGCGGGGGATTGCGGGGCGTGGCGGGTACACACCGGGCGGGCGCTTCCGTCACCGAGACCGAGGGAGCGCGGGCGCGCGCACAAAAGCCCGCCGCAGAACCCCTCCTAATCACCAGGGCCGGGGCTGGAGCCGCGCGCCCCGACGCCGCTCTTGCTCTGCCGCCGCGGCGCACCTTTCCCGACAGCTCCTCGTCCTCTCTCTCTCTTTCTCTCGCTCTCTCCCCGCCGCTCCCCGTTCTGCTCCTGCCCATCGCTCCCATCAGGCGGCCGGCTGCTCCCCCTTGAGCCGAGCTGCCACACCGCGTGGCCGTGGGCCGGGGGGGCTCGGGGCTGTCTGGCGCGGCCGGCACTCATAATTGGAAGGAAACACAAGCCGGAGCCGCTGTGGCGGGGCGGGGCGGGGCGCGGCGGGGCGCGGCGCGGCGCGGCGGGATGTTTGGCAGGGGAGGTAATGAGCAGAGGGGGTGAGTGGCAGAGCATGTCAGGTTTGGGAAGGGTGAGGGGGCTGAGCAGAGGGAGGAGGGGGAAAATATATAGAACTTGGTCATGAGGTAACTAGGTGGGCGGAGGCCAGCTCCTCCGGTCGGCGCATGGCGCGTGCGGTGGAGCTCGACAAGTAGTGTGCGGCCCCGCCCTGCTGTGCGGCGGGGCCGGTGAAGGAGGCGGGCGTCTCGCCTCGAAATGCTGCGCGCGGCTCTTCTTCCTGCTCCTCTGTCCGCGCTCTGTCCCCGGCTCCGGGGCTCTGTTCCGCCCTCGTGACCGCCCTTAGGGACGAAACCTAATTATTCGCTCGGCCATCTGGGATGCTGCAAGGTAATTGGAGCCCCAGGCTGCCGCTGCTGGCGCGCGTTGCGGCTCTCTGCTGGGCGTGCGGCCAGTCCTCTCGCACCGCCAGCGACATCATAATAATGTAAGAACCTTGTGAACCGTTATCGTGACTGCTTTTGTAATTGCCAACCATTCCGTAATGTGTAGAAAATCCCTCTGAATTGCGAAGAAACGGTTCGTCCTCGGTGACGTAAGGCAACTTTTGCGTAGCTCCGAGCAGCGCCGCCGCGGCTCGGCTCACCCGCGTATAAATTGGCGCGTAGCTCGCAGGAGCACGCCCCGACCCTCCCGTCACGCCCCGCGGCTGCGGCCCCGGTGGGCGCGCGGCCGCTGCCGCCCCGGCCGGCCAACACAAAAGTAAACCAAGTCGTTCTTCTGCTCGCAGCCCGCCGCAGCCATGTCCGCCGCCGCCTCCGAGGCCGCCATCAAGAAGCTCAACTTGGAGAAGGCCACCAACTTCATGCGGCAGTACCGGGACCCGCAAAGCCGCGAGCTCCGCAAACTGTCGGCGCACCAGTTCATGGAGGTGTGGAGCCACTACGACAAGGACGGTGAGTGTGACCAAATTACCGCAGGAGTCCGAGAACGGAAGACCGAGATGACCAAAAGGAAGGGGGGAGGGTGAACGCGCGAATTCTCGATTGAATGTAGCCACATAGTAGGCTATGCTTTCCAACTTACAAAAATCTTAGCTGGTGAATTTCGTTTTCATTACAACACTCCGCTCAGTTGGCAGCGATGCAACAAAAGACGATCAAGCAACAGCAATTATTATCAGTGTTCATCTTTGAATTTGAGTGTGATGAGCTTCGATGTGCTCTGGTCGACCATTTTTCGCCACTCTGCGAGATAAATTTATTTATCGGGCGTATACACGACGGGCCAACTGCCAACTGTGGATCCTCTAGAGGTTATGGTTGTCCGACCATAACCTCTCAATCTGCAGCTTGCCGTAACATCTACAGGAGCACCGGTCTAGATAAAATGGAATAACCTCCTATCCTGGAAGGTAGGGTAAGTACAAACGGTCTCAAAAGTCAGTCGCGGGGGTTACCTTCAAGCGAAACGGACAACTGTCAGCTCTGGATGACAGTACTACCGTTGCTTCCCCAGCGAAGATGGCACGCTGTCGGGAAGTGTTGCGAATCATCGGATAAACCGCAAATTCGGTGATAGTGGGAGTTACTTACCGTTTCAAGCGAGGTCTTGGGCCACAGGGAATGGTAGGAGAAGAGCGCCGGCTCGAGCCTCCACCCGACTCCAACTGACTGCCGATCGCAGCCCCCACATCCCGTGCCCTTCCGCATTACCCGTGCCTCAACCGGCACCCGCTATGCTGGACGCGTTGATAAAGTACCGGCACAAAACCTAACCTAGTTTTGTGCACAGCGTCCTTTCGATTTGCAGC